TTTGTTTGCTATTGTGGTGCCTCCAGCCCAGGTCGATCAGTCCTTCAGCTTCATCGCTCGTTCTGTCTAATGCCAGCCCCTGATATGACTATCCTCTCGCTCTCACCTACGGAGGTCGTTGAATTAGACGCGTTTCTGGACGAAGGTCTGGTCGACACCAAGCCAAAAGCACACCCCTCTGATCACTTTGGTCTGTCGCTGGGGGATGTTGATGTTGGTAGCCTACGTCGATGCGATGAAACATCCCCCTTGTCTCCTGGATACATGGACGATAGTTCCGAGGAGTTTTCCGGAGACGACACCGATGTTACTTTGCCTCCGATTCGATCACCAAGCCTATCGTTTGAAAAGCCTTTTCAGCATGCGGGTCAAGAACTCGACCATCCCTTCTTCACCTTGTACGACATGCGTGGATCGAATACCAATGACGTTCGCAATTCCTCTCCAAGGTTCGTCAAGAGGCGCCGATCGGAAAGAACAAACAATACAAAACGTCGTATCCATTAAGGAACCCGCTCGAAGGACAGTAGACCTTGTTTTATGGATCCCACTAGTTACATTACAAGGCAAGACTTGTTGACTATGAAGAGACCAAGACATCAGTGACATGAGCAAGTTTGCACGAATAAAACTGCTGGTGTTTTTATTTGTACTACATCACTATCAATTTTGAAACAATAGGTGAGGTATGTGCATAAGCAAAAGTGTCTTTTGTTGGTCTATGAAATTCTACATGAACATGAAAGATACATATGAAATAAGAGTAGAAGGGGAGGGAAGGAACAAATTCAAACAATAAAAGCATCGCAGGCACGAACGGTTCGAAGTAACCGGACAGAGGGAGGGTGTCAAGGATATAATTGTGTATCTAAAGGTAGGAAAGAACAGTAATTGGTGAGACGAGGCGAAAGGGATAAAGGGGAGGTGAAAGGTACAAGGAGAAGGTAAAGAGGGTAGAAGAGGAGTTGATAGAGGATAAATGAAGTCAAAAGGTGATTTGATGGACGGTAGAGAGTGAGGGGCGGACAAAAGAAAAAATGAGTCAAGGGAATGGAGGACAAAATAGACAGAGAAACTGGTGTCAATCTACTAGATGAATCAACGGTCTTGTAAAAATGCAGCTGCCTTAAATGCCGTATGCTTGCGCCGCATGTAGGTTTGAATTTGATGGAGCTCAAGGAGTGTGAAGGATGCAGAATCAGAATAAAGAATATGTCCGATAGAAAATGGAATAGAATGAAAAAAAAGGCCGCGGTTATTTTTTAAAACAGAAGGAAGAATCAATGGGAGATACATGTCAATATGCACACGCTATCGTGTTCCAAGTCTCTGTCACTTTCCTCCTCTTTGTCTCGCCCTCTGTCTCGCGCTCTCTCTCTCACACATACACACGCACACACTTCTATCTCCTTTTCCACGGAGAGCCGCGAACGAGCGCGTCACGTAAGTGATTGTGAGTAAATAGATGGCGATACCAATTGGGTATTACTCATATCGGCCAAGCAGTTGCTTCGCCAGAATCAAAGAAAAAAAAAAGAGGCAAGCGAGGGAATAAAGGGGAGAGGATGTGGTCAAGAAAGAGGAAGGAAAATCAATGAAGGGCCCGTGCAAACATGTGCACCCTTTTCTCTTTCGAGTCTCTCAGTCATTCTTGACCTCTCTATCTCGCCCTCTCTCTCTCACACACACACACGCACACACTTCCATCTCCTTTTTCATGGAGAGCCGCGAACGAGCGTGTTACGTAAGTGATTGTGAGTAAATAGATGGTGATACCAATTGGGTATTGCTGATATCGGCCAAGCAGTTGCTTCGCCAGAATCAAAGAAAAAAAAAAGAGGCAAGCGAGGGAATAAAGGAAAGAGGATGTGGTCAAGAAAGTGGAAGGAAAATCAATGAAGGGCCTGTGCAAACATGTGCACCTGTTGTGGTACGGGTTTATTTTTATTTATCCCTTTTTATTTAACGAAGAAACGCTCAACCGATCACGCCACACAGCCGATACTGCTTATTATCTGCTTTGTGGTGCAAAATAAAGAAAACACACTCTTTCTTCTCGTTAATTCTACCCCCATACTTCTCACACCCTTTTCTCTTTCGAGTCCCTCAGTCATTCATGTCCTCTCTGTCTCGCCCTCTCTCTCTCACACACACACACGCACACACACACACACACACACACGCACACACTTCCATCTCCTTTTTCATCGAGGGCCGAGGCCGAGCGTGTTATGCACGTGATTGCGAGCAAACATATGGCGATACCGGTTGGTATCGCCCATATCGGCCATGCAATTGCTGGACCAGAGTCAAGGAAAATAAGGGGCGGAAAGTATGGGGTCTAAGTCAACGAGAAGAAAAGAGTTGTTTTATTGTTTTACACCACTGGAGTGATATTTAACCACGGAGGTGATAGCTAATCACAGAGGTGGTAAATAATCACGGAGATGATAATTATTATAAACAATCACGGAGGTGGTAGTTGAGCAGCGACCATCTGCCATGTGGTGATGTGGTCGCTAGCAGTACTTCTTCGTTACATAAAAAGACGGGGTAAAATAGAAATAAAAACCCCGTACCGCAACAGGGGAAAGGATTCCACTCAAACATAATTGAAAGAAAAAAAAATACTCATCAAGGCTCGTACATGCATACATCACATCATACACCCTTTGGTCCCAGGTCTCTTAGTCTGCAAGGTTCGTATTCTGAGTTCTCACGAGCTTGCCTTTCGCCCTCTCTCTCACCCGCACTAGCTTTTCATTTGGGGATATTCGTCCTTGGTCGTACACCTTGTTGTTTCTATCAAGATCCAGGCCTAAGAAAAGTATAAGGTTATGGAGGCCCATTCGCGCCGTTATGCTTTGACCACTTTGTAAAGGAAGAAAACAAAAAAAAAAAAAAAAAAAAAAAAAAAAAAGAGCGACGTAAGCACATGTTTTCGCCCAATTTTCTCTTTTTTTATAACACGAGTTGGAGGAAGTTGTCTATTTGAAATCTTGCATCGTCCCTCCTTGACTTCCTCTCGTTCTGTCCCTCACCATCTTTTGTTTTTCTGTTGGATTGATGGTGGAGGTGGTTGTTCCTTAACTTAACCACTCATTCCTGCTACCTCATCCCTGTTGTTTTTGCTTAATTGTTTTTCTTATGTATAATTGTGTGGGCAAGAAAAGAGCATGCAGGTGATTAGTATCGCTTGCCTTTCTCTGTTTTCTATCTTTTCGAAGCACCCGTGTGCACGGATGCAAGTTTACGAAATGAGAGATACAGGGAGCGGAGAGGAAGGGGAGAGAGGGACGACTGTCATCAGAACACGACTCATTGTACACAGCTCAACTGTCGAGAATTCTTACACCCTTTTAAAAAGAGGTGCAATCCGAATTGGACTTTTCCACCCTTCTGTTCCATTTTCCTTTTCTCTGTTGTCGTAATCGGCATTATTCATATTCACTATACCGCCTCACGACACTCAACTGTCCTCTTCCTCTTTATCCCTCCATCCGTCCCCCCATTCCCTCCACGCACGTTATCCCTTGTCTCCCTTTCTCCTTCACTCTTTTCTTTCTCTTACCGCCCTTCCCCCTTTCCCTCTACCCCCCTCTAGCTGCTCCCCTCTACTCCCCTCTAGCTGCTCCCCTCTACTCCCCTTCACCTTCCCTCTGTCCTCCTTTAACCTCCCCTTCTACCATTCATCTCTCACCAATTCTTATTCTCTTCTACCTTTAGATGCACAATCAGGTCCTTGGCACCTCTCCCTGTAGTCACCTCCTCTTTGAGTGCAGAATTACACGGACGGCAAGGCATAAGATACTTCGAAGAATAAACTATATTTTGCTAATTTTATTTGCCCTGTATGACATATTTGACAAAGAAACAAACGAGCAAACAAGGACTGTATAGGATCCTGAGCTTGGTGGAACAGTTGATTTGGCCTTGTTTCCTTGTGTTTGAATATAAAGAGAGAATGAAGAAAGAGACGAGATCTGAAAAGAAGACAAAGCGAATGACGGTTCATGTGCAGAAGAGGCCTGGAAGATGAGGCTAATTTGTGTCTCGACTCTGGCCAGGTTCAAGTATGAACGGGTGTAAAAATGAGTGTAAAAAAGTATGTAAAAGTCAGGTCAAGATGGCTAGCATCCTCAAGACAAAAACAATTTCACCAGTAAAATGGACACTCAAGGCGTCAAACACCTTTTGTTGCTTTCTGTCAAATCAAAGAAGCAAAAAAAAATGGACAGTTCGCAGATAAGAGTCGCCTAGTCAAATGACGCTTAAGGCATCCAGCAGCGCTGGTCAAGCCAGGATTAGACCAATTGTCGGCAAATAGAAACCTCCTCTATTCTGCTGTAATCCTTACTCAGTTGTAAAGGAGGCAGAATCGGGCTTTGTTTACAATGGGGTAAGAAAAGGCGATTCTGTATGTTCCTACATGTATGTAAAAAATGGATTTGGGGCTAATTGATACACCATTGTAAACATTCCAAAAAAACCAGAGCCTTACTGGGTTGTACGACCTTCATTTTATGAAATGCTTACCTATGTGTGTTTATTCACTCGTCGAGTGCGCCTTACACTAATGTAAAAGACCCCTTTCATCGAATCTTTACTCATTGTACACGTTCATTCATACACCCTTGTAAACATTTAATTTACAGAGTATTGTAAGAAATTCTTTTTTGCTTGGACGAGAGCAGTATTGACAAGAGTTTCGCTGGCACGCTGCAGGTAACAACCCCCTCTTTGATAATATGAATACAAGGTCCTTTTACACATCACTTGGACGAGAGCAGTATTGACAAGAGTTTCGCTGGCACGCTGCAGTGTATCGTTTTGTGTGATTCTTTTAGGACACTATTGTCACTTCCCCTCCCCCCAACCTACAACCCCTTCCCCTCCCCCTCCGTACCAATTGAGGACCTAACAGCGGTCCTACAACTCTGGCCGTCGACCCTCTCCCCTGAGTAACAATGTTTAATTCCTGTGCGGAACTCTTTTCCACAATGCCAACCCAACAGCAACATCAACACCAACACGGAGATGGTGACCCACCCTCTCAACCCCTGCCCTCAATCGGGTCCCCACCATCCCCTTCCTATGCCTCCATGGCAGCTGGAACCCGTAGTAACAATAAACTTCTCATTCACTCAGTGTTTACCGACCCCGAAGAGGGTCACCTTGCTGCTGCCGCTCTTGCACCAAAGGGAGCTCGACTGGGCGACCTGGTGAACCCAAGAGCTGTTGCATACATCGTCCCCAAAACTATTTCTTCTGGCGCGTTTTCGGATGCAGTCAGATCCACCCACTCAACTCTGTTCAAAGCCCATGATGACATAGCACCTCTCCATATTCTTAGCAACATGGCCTTCCCCTGCGCTGACAATGTCCACCATCGCATTGAAATTGTGTACCATGAATCTCTGGACACTACAGCTGTTTCCACCACTCCCATTACCGTCGACGACAAGCAGTTTGCCCCTCTTTCATCGACTGTTCCTCACATTATCACCCGTTTCGTCTTCACGGATTACCAGTTCCAGACTTCCCTTGATTTTGGCACCCACCTGGAGCAGTTCTGCTCTTGGTACTTTGAGGACGCCAAGAGAATGGGCAAAGTCATCAAGATCGAGATCCCTCTGTTCCCTACCCCCAACGGCAACCACGAGGCTCGCAGCCAGTTCGCTGTTTATGTCAAGAGTGACAAGACTGCGGACGAATTTAAGATTGACCGCTTGCTCTCCTTGGGCAACCGTCAAAAATCTCCTTGCCGTATCAGTTGGATGGGAGCCTCTCCCTTTTGTAACTATTGCAAGGGACACGGGCACCTCCTTCTCCATTGTCCCAAGCGCTTGGCCATCGTATGCAGTGCGTGCAATGCGAATGGCCACGTCAGCTTCACCTGCTCAAGGTTCTCGGCTAGAGATGCTAAGAGGGCGAAAGGTAAGATGCCTGTGAGAGGGCAACCCACTTCCACCTCTTCCGCTGAATCCTCCTCAGATTTTACTTCCTCTACTTCCTCCTTTTCTTCTTCCTCTTCTGCTTCCTCTTCTTCTTCTTCTCATGATTCCTCTTCTTCTGATTCTTCAACCTCCTTCTCTTCTCCTTCCTCCACTACTTCCTCTGCTTCTGCTTCTGTACCGCCTGATACAATTTCAAACACCCATCTCGCTTTGACCACTACCAATGTGACCCATCAGTCCCAGTTAGTGGTTTCTCCTTCCAACACACCAAAAGATGACATCACTATGACCGAATGTCATGATCAGGCTCAGGATAAAGGAGAAGAGGTCTTTGATGAGGATTTCAATTTGGAGGGAGCTAACCTGGGAGACCTTGACAGAGCTACCTACAATACTGAACACTCCATTTCCTCCGACAACAACGACCTCCCCATGGAGGATGCTATGGCTGCTTCTATAGCAGCGCGGATCAAGGCAAGACGCTCCGTAGCCAAGACCGCGGTCGCCACAGCAGTTAAGACCATCACCAAGACATCCAACAACATCTACACCAAAGAAGGTAGACCTGCCACTAGATCTACTTCTACAATTAAAAACAATCGGTCACAGTAATGCGGATCGCAAGCTTGAACGTGCGAGGTCTACGTAAGCAGCACCTTCAAAACAACAATGCTACCGGTCCACCTCATTTCTTCACCTGGCTTCGACAAACGGATTTTGACATAATGGCCCTTCAGGAAATCAACCTACCAACATCGCCAACCACTGCTGATCAGATCAATTACAACCAATATCTCAACACTCACAGCTCTGTTTGGTCCCCCCACTGTGCACTCCTTCTTCGCAATCCTGACCTCTCCTTCTCTAACACCTCTTACGCAGAACAAGGAAGGATTATTATTACCACCGTCACCTCTTCATCTTCTTCTTTTATGGCCACATTCTGTGTTATGTATGCCCCAGCCAACAGGACAGCACGAAGGCTATTCATGCTGAACTGTCTCTCCCTCCC